GAAAACAATGTCCAATTCAAATGACATACAGAAACCAAAGACATTAAAAAAAAGAAAGAAACACAGACGTGTGTGCAAAGATCAAGTGAGATCAAGCTAAGAACTGAAGGCCTGACCTCGACCTGCTCCCAGAGTAGGAGCGACGTCGTCTCGGCTTGTCCTCCACAAGACGTATTTTTCTTCCGTTGATATCGGTGCCATCCAACTTGTCCAAAGCTCTCTTCATATCAGAGTAGGAGCGAAACTCGATGACACCCTCATTGGTCCGTTCTTTGTGGGCGTCAGCATAGGTCACCTCTCCAGCTTGACGCATGAAGTCCTACGGTCAAGAACAAATAACTAAAGATACAAAGGTTTCCCAAACTGCATTATGCAATATAAATGGAGACTACAATCCATTCTCATTTAATTGCACTTTCAATATTCTCATTTTTTTGCGGTCACAAAGCACACATGGAACTATTCTGTATTGATCATTGCCAAAGACAAGAATGATTCAGGGGCCGTGAAAAGCTCAAAAGTCCAGCAGAAAATTGCACTGGGATTTAATCAGCCACTTAAAGGGATAGTTCATCTTCAGTTGCTGGTCCCCATTGACTTGCATTGTGTGTCCCCCCCCATACTACGGAAGTCAATGGGGACCAGCAACTGAAGATGAACTATCCCTTTAAGCAACATCAATTCAATCAAGTCTAAAAAGAACAGCCTTTTACTTCGGGACAGCTTTGAAAACGGGCTCACCTTGAGATCCTGCCAGCTGCAGCGACTGGACAGGTTCTCCACTATCAGTCGGTACTCCGTGCGAACCGGAGGTCCATATTTGTCTCTTCTGCTATGGCTCCTGCTGCTATAACCACTACTGCCTTCAGACAAAAGCCAAGAGACAATCAGTACAGAATTAGACGCAATCCAGAAAGCGCACAAGGCAACCTCTTCAGACATCTGCATAAAGCATGATGTTCAGGCATTAGAAAATGCAGTCTTCCTGTCCCACCCCACTGAATAATCACACCCAAATAAACATAAGACTTCAGCAACAATCAGTCCCTCCGAAGGGGTCAAAGGTCGCATTGCTGGTCTTCACCCAACAGCTCAAGAACAGCAATGCTCTGAACGCGAATACCGCTCCAGCGACAGGTTTTAACGTGAGCCCCAATTATAAAGACAGCAAACGAGTACACAATACCCTCATGAAAACAAACAAAAGGGAAAAGAAAAAGAAAAATACAAAAATAAAAAGTAACCAGGACTACTTGCATTAGATGCTGACATGTTACCTGTCTACTGCCAGAACAGCGACAGCACAAGACACATAGCAAGGGAAGCCCATTGCTCTTTTTAATAAAGAAAAAGTTAAATGATAGCTACATAAATTTGTTTAACCTGACCAATATTTCGTTCAACATAAAAACCAATGGGTTTCCTCACCATCACCCTGGTCTATTGGCAAAAGGCAGCTGTCATCATGGCTTCCGGTTAGGTCAGCCAAGGGTCAAAGGGCAAAGGTCACACACACATTGTAAGGTGAAAGCCAAGGCCAAACGGGACAGGCAGTCATCTTAGCCTCAATGGACTCGGACTCAGCCCACACCAGACTCTTTTAAATTGAAACATCAAGGACTTTTGTTAATGTTGAATTCAGATGTAAACACAAAATCGCATCGTCACACGTCATACTGTTTACATGCCAGCGAGGCTTCAGAAAACATCAACTGATTACTAAATCTATCGGCTAGATGGGCCAATAAAGAGTGGAAACAGCCCACAATCTGACATGTAAACATCTTTAGTCACTCTCCCTGGCTTTTGAAGAGTACTCAAGTTATACTGCACAGTCTCATGACCCTTGGCGTTTAAAACGGGCCAAAACTACAAAAGCAGAGGCATCTTTTGAGGGATTCCCATTTAACAAGGTCACATCTCAGGACCAATTTCATTAAAGAACATTAGATCCCATCAGCCTTCCATCCGGACCACAGCTACTGCAGACCTTAACAGAGAAATGTAGTTAGTCACTGGATGCAGGTGCTACTGAGAGGACAGTCCACTGTAAATAAAAAAAACAAAACACGTATTATTCACCTCCACTTTTTCTTCGTGCCTGAGGGAGGGGAAAAAAAAAAAAAAAAAAAGAGAAAAGTTTTGTTTAGAACTTCTACAAATAACTTAACAAAATCAATTTGATGTGACTATGCCATGAATGACATTGCTTAGGTTTTTAAAATGTTTATTTGAAATAAAATGGTTGCATAAACACTGAAGGAGGCTGTACTTACTGCGCCCGCCGCCGCCCCCATAACCCCCACCATATCCATCCCGGTCCCGCCGCGGTCCTCTCGCGTGCTCCACGATCACACGCTCCCCGCACAGATCTTTACCGTTCAGCTCGTACACGGCGTCGTCTGCGTCACGGGTGTCCTCAAACTCCACGAACCCGTACCTGAGAGTAATTAAGCACAAATTTATTTACCAAAGATCTCCAGCATTGCAGAAATGACATGCAGATTCATCCTCTACGACGGCTTAAGCGCTGTACAACAGAGAACAGGTTCTGGAAGCCAAAAATCCCATTCACTATCTCCATAGAAAAACAGATTTTTAATGTTTATTGGATGACACGCTTTTGCTAAAGCGGTCAGTCTTCATCGTTTCGACTCTTTTCAACTCAAACTTAATCGTGTTAAATGAGGAGTTCTTGCCATCAATAAAGACATTTACCCTGTCTTTACTTCCGATATTCAAATACTCTTTCAGCTTCAAATCAAAGCTTGTGATTCACGTGGCATCTGGTTGGCTTGTTTCATGGCTTTTAACACTCCAACGAAGACTTTCAAAATCCCTCTCTAGGGGAAAATAATTCAGGAACCGAGGCTTGCTGAAAGAGCGGTCAGGACCTGTTGGATTTTTTTAGGTATTATTCCAAAGATGTTTCAAACGACCTCATTTTAGTGGGTTCCAATTATCTCTGAAATAAAACTGCATCAAAGTAGACTTGTGCCGGTATTCGGTAATGCGATATATCACGGTAATGAATATGCGCGATATTGTTATCGTGGGCACTTCTAAATACCGTGAATAATTATATATTACAAATTATTCCGAATTTTGAATGCATTTTAAGAATACTTTTCCCATAAACTGGTCAAAATGCACAACACCGCCGTATGCTGCATGAAAGATGCGTGCGCACTCTGATGTAAACAAGCGCAGACGAGAAGCACATGGCGGAACATGTGAGAGAAACTCTGGATGAAAGCGCTTTCACTCTCTGACAGCAGATGGCGCTAAACTGCAGAAATAATAATAATAATAATGAATAATGTTCATCACAGCGCCAAATACTTAAATATTTAGACTTAATAGGCTATTTATTTTCAAACTTTTTTTTACATTTTAATCTGGACTACAACATGCCCTAGATATTGTTTGAAAGTGTTTTGATTCTTTATTGTTCGGTCACACTTTACATTAGGGCTTCATTAGTTAACATTAGTTAACAAACTGCCAATGAAAAATTCTTCTGAACATTCATTAAACTTAGGTATTCCAATATTTAATAACAGGATGTTAAAATCGAGAGTTGCAGCTGTGTTATTTAATGAGCTAACATGAACTAAGACTTGTATTTTTTAAACAAAGATGAATAACTTCTGTAGCAAATGTAGCTATTGCTCATTGTGAATGTTAATGCATTAACCAAGGTTAACTAATGAGGTCTTATTGTAAAGTGATACCTATTGGTCTTTATAGTTCTTTTGCACTTTAATCTGTGTAAAACTTTTAACCATACATTTTTCTGTACTGCTTTATTGCATTTAAATGTTCAGTTATTTTTGTTATAAAATGTTATTAAACCTGTTATACTGTATTATGACAGCACTTCTTTAAACTAAATTTCAATATCGTGATAATACCGCATACCGTGATACAAGCACTATCAATTAATCGCAACATGAAAATTTGATACCGGCATATACCTACATCAAAGGCAAGTTACAGAGTGTGAAAAGTGAACAAAAAAGCCTTACTAAATAATAATAATGACAAGGTTTGTACAAACTAATGAACAATTAGTTTATCCAACTGACCTGTTCGATATATTTGAAGTGAAAAAATATATAGTTTTGGTAGGCAAATAAAAACATTACGCTGCTCGGTGTCAACAGAAGACCAAAACGGGCGCCATATTGTGTTTACACGCGGTCCATTCTGGCAAATCTAGTGGGTCATCCTAGTATTTCACGCATACAGTAATTATGCACGGGGCTCATACTATATAATGGAGAAATATCACAAGACGGATCTCTGTACGCCTTTCCAAAATGACAGACCTTCTTTATGTGCATTTATAAATACATCTACTATAGTGCGTTAGAAATCATGCGGCGCGTCGCTGAAGCGTTTGCCAATTCAGGTCAGCACAGCGCTACAACTGACCAACTCTTACATAGACGACCACAATTCGGAACTGTTTATGGTGTCTCAGAATCGCCAAGCAATTGAAAGTCTTAGTAAATGTCGTCTGGTCGCATGAAAGAAGCTCAAGCGCTGAGCACAACAAACCATCCGCCATTTTGAGCGGTAAGAGCCTCAACTAGAGGAATACAATTAGCAGGACACACACTGAGCATTTAAGACACGTCCATGCCGTGCAATCTATTAAACACATTATAAAATAGCATATTCTTAAATGAAATGCATCGGAAACGTGAAGCGGTCATCATCAGGACGCCGCGGCCTCGCGTTACGCCGCTCCGCAAACTCACCCGTTCTTCAGATCGATCTCAAAAAGCTTCCCGTAGCCGCTGAAAAACTTTTGTATGTCCTTCTCTCGCACATGATAGCTCAGCCTGCCGATGTACACTCGCGGCATGGTTAACGTTTAGTAAATAACGATCAAACGCACGAACCGTCGTAGCTTTAAACGCTAGCGGTCGAGTACGCCGAACGGCCACCTAGCGGTTATAACGGGCACGCTGTCGACGTCACTTCCGGCGGTAACTACAGCAGTAACTAACGGACGTGTCGACACTGAAAGAATGCTAATGTACAACACAACCTCAGATTGTTATGTTTATTGATAATAATTATACTATAAATAATTTAGACTTGTAAAAAAATGGTCTGCGTTTACAACTCAGTGTATAACAGTGGAGTTTGAGTCGTGTTTTGGTTGTAATTAAACACAGAAAGGCAATAAAGATGCTAAATCCAGTTGTTCATTACACACCCAGAAGCAAAGACATTTCTGCAATTATGATATACATTTTTAAACACGATTTAAATCGGTTTGTGTCGTCATTGCATACACTGCCTCACTGATGGCGCGTAGTAATATGAGAAAGTCTTGCAACTATTGTAAGGCATATTTAATCGTATGTTTTCAGTCCTCTACAGTTTACTCTGAGAAACCGTCTTCACTCGTATCACTCCCTCTTGCGCGCAGGAAGCTGCGAGAACGCCATCCTGTCTCCACAAGCGGCCCTGGACGAAGCCCCTGCTGCCTCCTGATAGGAAATAAAGGTATCTTAAATATTAAAACGTGTACAGATCACAACAGGTTATTATCATGCTCATATATTGAAGTGCTGACCATCATAGACAGGACTGAAAACATGCAAGAACGGACAGAGAAGCGGCTGCTGACCTGACCACGGGCTTTCGCATTCATACAGCATCCACTCGTCTGCTCTGAATGTGCTGTGAAACCACATGGCATGATCCAGAGAGGCGGAAAACTGGGCCTTGTGATGTGGGCGAGGTAACAGGGCCGTGCCCAGGAAAGCGTAGTCCGATACATACGCTGCCACACAACAGTGCAGTTTCATATCACCAGCTCCTAAAATACCACACAACACAACATTATAAAATCTGAAATAAGTTACAGTCAGTTGGTCATTATCTAAAATAAACACAACAGGGTGACCGGGATTTTTTTTTTTGATACATTGAGATTATTAGGCAAGGAATTAACATTTCATTTTACAGAGATTGCAATCACAATTACATAACTATATTTATAATATGTGACCCTGGACAAAACCAAAAACGAAATTGAGATGTATACAGCATCTGAAAGCTGAATAAATAAGCTTTCCATTGATGTATGGTTTGTTATGATCAGGGTTCCCACTCTTTCACGAACACCAGATTCAAGGACTTTTTAAAGCACCATTTATTTTATATCAAGCACCTATCAAATTCACACCCCAGCATATGTAGTGTCATGAAAGACCTTACAGTACTTAACAGTTCACTTACACTTAACATTTACATTAAACATTTCAGAGTAATAATGTTTTGAATGTGTAGGTTTCACAAATTTAGACCATTTTGAGCAGTCGTATTCAAAGGAATTTAATGAAATCCATTGAAGTCAGTACTGGTAATATTCAAATACAATTTCTAAAATATTGATAAAATATGCATCAAACTGTTTTTGCTGTAGTTCTTGTACACGATTTAAATTAGAAAGAATTTCTCAATTTTTAAATTAATAAAAAGTTGTTAAATGTTGTAATAACATGGCAAAACCTGTTAACATTAAAAATGTGCACATTCACTCAAAATATACATTACTCATTAATAAATTAACTCAAGTCAAAATAATTTTGTAAATGACGTTTTATTGTAAATTCCATTTTTCATCTTTGACTTAGAGGAATGCAGCTGCTCAAAACGTCAACATTTTTTGAAAATATTTCATGAACATTTTAAACCTTGTACATGTGCAAATCTGCAAAAAAAATAAAGTAATATAAAGAAAAGAAATAAAAATAGGACTGTCTATTTGTTTTTAAACTGTAAATGCTTTTTACTAAGCTGTTGAGTGGGTGGTAATGGTCAGAAATTCAGCGGGAGCGGGCTTAAGAAAAATGTCCCGCTCAGGGCTCTAGGCTGCGCATCAACACACCCGCTAAGTTTTTTTTTCGCATTACCCCATCTCCACCCCCAATCATTAGTGCCGTTTCGTTTCGTTCTTTGACAGAACATATAGGACAATTTTTGAAATAGCGCCATAAACAAAATTTATTTCAAATTTTTTGTGCTGCAGGGTCACAAATATAAGAGCAGAGTGTAACCAAAACAAATGTATATTCATGAGAGGATATAGATTTCTATTTAATTAAATTCCTTTTCCAGGTGAGCAGTTTAAAAACCCTTGTGAAAAAGAAGTGTGCTTAATTCTATTGAATGTGTACTTCTATTTTGAAAAAAAAAATGCAGTAATATTAATGATATAAAAGGCCACTTAAGTATACTTAAAGAGACTCTTTCGTGACTATTATGCACACTTTTAAAAAGTGCAGACTGTATTAATGGCAAAATAAAATATTTACTTTAAAGCACATTTTAAATCATGTTTTAATAGTCTTTTATTGTGCTTTGAAGTATACTTATTTTGATGTGTTGACGAACATACTAAAGCACGTGTAACATACTTTATAATTAAAATTTTAGCTAGTGTGTTATTTGATGTAACGTTTGTTAAGAAATTTTAAATATGCTAAATTACAACATAATCATTACAAATGTATAATTACAAATATACATTATATACAAGTTTCAATAGAAATTACATAAAAAAATATATTTAAATTTTCCACAAATGCTTGTTTAACCATATTTCAAAAACAACTTAAGTAATTATAACATTACATAAAATTATGCTCTCTTAAGTGTTTCCCTTTTTCTCAAGGGAACTCCTGGATTTTTTTATTGACTGTGGGATCCCTGAATAATGTAAAAAAAAAAATTATAATTTGAGGTTCATCCATCTGAAAAGAAAAATAGTCTTGCACTTTTACTTTTATCCTCACAACTACTTGGATGGCATATTAATTACATTTCATTAATCACAAATGGCATCATTATAGGTGTTTTTTACTATAAAGAAGAGGTTGGTGACATGTTTATTATACCTATATGCCCTCTCGCTCGCACCCAGAATAATTTCTTCGGTTCCATGGCAACACGACTATAAAAATCAGGTGGGTTGACTGGCTTGATCTCTATAGGAACTTCATCAGCAAGGATTTTATTTAAACCCTGTCGTGTATTGTCTGCCAGGTTTGGATCGCTGTAAAACAAAACGAAAATCATGTGTAAAAGTGTGACGTTTAAAACAGGTGTTAAAGGGGTCATATGATGCGATTTCAAGTTTTCCTTTCTCTTTGGAGTGTTACAAGCTGTTCATGAATAGATAATATCCCTAAAGTTGCAAAGACTAAAGTCTCAAATCCAAAGAGATATTCTTTATAAAAGTTAAGAGTCAACCACGCCTACCTAAAACGGCTCGTTCTAACACGCCCCACATGTCTACGTCACGATGTGGGAAGATTTACATAACCCCGCCCAAATGTTCACGGAAAGAAAGAAGCCGTAACTT